TATATATATATATTATACACACACACTTCATATAAAACATACATATATAATATGGAATGGTTGCTAGGATCTCCCTGAATGATTATTCACAATTACTGATATCCTATATTATTATGATCATAATACACAGCGACTGATATTCTGTATAATAACAGACAGGAAATACTATTCATTGGATCCCCTCTGTACCAAAACACAGTAATGAAAGGATTCCCTGATTAATACGCTGGAATTGTGAGGATTCTCCCTGTATAGTAAGAGAAATTGAATGATTTCCTACCAATAATATTAATAAAAAGGTAGAGAGTAAGGCTCACCTGTATGATACAATGTATCATGTCATCCTCCTCCTGATGTCGGATTAACCCCTGCAGCTGCATCCCCCCCTCCTCTCCAATGATCCATCACACAGCCAACGAGACCTGAATCTGCACACCGAGCTCACTGCAACAAAGATCAGGGCTGACCCAACACAGGGACCCTCCTACCCCACTCCTCACTCCAGGGAGGGGGGTCTCATCCAGGCTCTGCCTCTCTCTATACACTGTATACTGGCTGCACTCTACATGGGGGGGTCTCCTCCAGGCTCTGCCCCTCTCTATTCACTGTATACTGGCTGCACTCTACATGGGGGGGTCTCCTCCAGGCTCTGCCCCTCTCTATTCACTGTATACTGGCTGCACTCTACATGGGGGGGTCTCCTCCAGGCTCTGCCCCTCTCTATTCACTGTATACTGGCTGCACTCTACATGGGGGGTTTCATCCAGGCTCTGCCTCTCTCTATACTGGCCGCACTCTACATAGGGGGTCTCCTCCAGGCTCTGCCCCTCTCTATTCACGGTATACTGGCAGCACTCTACATGCATGGGGGGGTCTCATCCAGGCTCTGCCTCTCTCTCTACACTATATACTGGCAGCACTCTACATGGGGGGTCTCATCCATGCTCTGCCTTTCTATGCACTATATATGGGCTCCTCACTACATGGGGGGTCTCATCCAGGCTCTTTTCCTCTATACACTATATACTGGCTGCACACTCCAGGGAGGGGGTCTCATCCAGGCTCTGCCCCTCTATGCACTATATACTGGCTGCACTCTACATGGGGGGTCTCATCCATGCTCTGCCTTTCTATGCACTATATATGGGCTCCTCACTACATGGGGGGTCTCCTCCAGACTCTGCCCCTCTCTATTCACTGTATACTGGCAGCACTCTACATGGGGGGTCTCATCCAGGCTCTGCCCTATCTATACTGGCTGCACTCTACATGGGGGTCTCATCCAGGCTCTGCTCCTCTCTATACACTATATACTGGCTGCACTCTACATGGAGGGTCTGATCCAGTCTTTGCCTCTCTATACACTACATATACTGGCTGCACTCTACAAGGGGGGTCTCACCCATGCTCTGCCTTTCTATGCACTATATATGGGCTCCTCACTACATGGGGGGTCTCATCCAGGCTCTTTTCCTCTATACACTATATACTGGCTGCACACTCCAGGGAGGGGGTCTCATCCAGGCTCTGCCCCTCTATGCACTATATACTGGCTGCACACTACATGGGCTGGGGGGAGTCTCATTCAGGCCCTGCCCCTCTATACATTGGCTGCACATTACATGGGTTGGGGGAGTCTCATCCAGGCTCTGCCCCTCTATACACTATATACTGGCTGCACACTACATGGGGGGTCTCATCCAGGCTCTGCCCCTCTATATACTGGCTGCACACGACATGGGGGGTCTCATTCAGGCCCTGCCCCTCTATACACTATATACTGGCTGCACACTACATGGGGGGTCTCATCCAGGCTCTGCCCCTCTATATACTGGCTGCACACGACATGGGGGGTCTCATTCAGGCCCTGCCCCTCTATACACTATATACTGGCTGCACTTTACATGGATTGGGGGGAGTCTCATTCAGGCCCTGCCCCTCTATACACTGGCTGCACACTACATGGGTTGGGGGGAGTCTCATTCAGGCCCTGCCCCTCTATACACTATATACTGGCTGCACACTACATGGGGGGGGTGAGGTCTCATCCAGGCTCTGCCTTTCTATACACTATATATGGGCTCCTCACTACATGTGGGGGTCTCATCCAGGCCCTGCCCCTCTATACCGGCTCCACACTACATGGGGGTCATCCAGGCTCTGCACTATATACTGGCTGCACACTACATGGGGGGGGGGTCTTCTCCAGGCTCTGCTCCTGGCTACACACAACATGGGGGTCTCATCCAGGCTCTGTCCCTCTCTATACAAAGGATCCACACTACAGGTATAGGCGTGCACATGGGGCGTGCCGGGTGTGCCCGGTCACACCCTAATTACCCCAAGCACAACACCAAAACCCAGTGGCTTTGTAAGCCGCGCACTGATCCTTGCTCCACCCAGCGGCTGTCAGCAATAGGCCGGGTAAATACACGTCTAAAGGGATGCCAAGGATGCCCTGTTTGAGATTACCGGTGCACTGACTGCTCCAGACGAACGCAGCCTTTCAAGTACCCTGTAAACTTCCTGTTTCTCAGCAGGCTGTAAATGAAGGCGGACATTACACCCCGTACATGTGGAACGTCTACTGAGGACTAAGGTAACAAAAACTACACCCAGCCTCCCTCCGTGCATGTGAGATCTTCTATGTGTGTGTTTGTTGCAGCATTAGATAGATATATATATATATATATATCTCTAAGTTTTCTATTCATCTCACAGGGCTCTGGTTGAATTGTGGGCCACTGACTGAAACACGGGGACAGTACACAAGGTGCATACAAGTGATCATTGTAAATAGACGATAGCGGTAGGGAATGGTGCAGGGCTTACAATACTTACCATGTTTTTATAGTCCCTGCTCAAATGTTTGTAGCCATCTGATATTAGCAATTGTCACCAGCAACAGGAGGATATTCATTTCTGAAAAGCTTCTGGTAGTACAGTAGGGTGACCATTCGTCCATGATTTCCGGGGACAGTCCCTGGATTGAGGAGACAGTCCCCGGACAAATTATGTCCCCCGGGAACATAACATTTATTTTATTTATTATTATTATTTTTTGTATACTCTCCTGATGCCTGAATCCACCGACGAGCGCAGCCTCCTGTCTCCCACGCTGTCAGAAGCTGCATACGCTCCCACGCTATGAGAAGATACGCTATTAGCATAGCGGGGTAGCCGGCTGCGCATTTTGCATACCTCCCGCTACGCTAATAACGCAGCCTGTAAGAAGCTGCATATAGCGTGCGCCAGTTTAAATAGTAACCGGCACACGCTGTTGGTAGCTTCTGACAGCGTGGGAGACTGGAGGCTGCACTCCTTGGTAGATTCAGGGATCAGGTGAGTGTATATTAAAAATTGCTGTATTTAATTTTAAAAATCTGGTCACCTTATAGTATAGTGTGGTCAGAGACAGGGGGGCTGTATTTCTCACTTTCATTACAAATCCCAAAAATGATTCCTCATTTCAGGTCAATGGCAAATCATTCCTTTTGGGCCCCTATAGCCAACTGTACATCCAGAAGTTGTATGGTTTACAGCACAGACACAACCTGATATTATAGAATCATTCATTTCCATACAGGTGCTTCAGGATTGTTGCCGTCATCAACCCAGTACATGGAAATAATGGCTTCCTAAGAGTAGGGCTTAGGACAAGATGAGATCATATAACCAGAAAGATTCTGGCATTGTGGGCCAAAAAGAACTAGAAAGCCCTACGCTGAGCCAGAGCGAGTCTTCTTAAAACAGAACTATCCTAAAATGGGCAATAAACCTCCTTGTTTTGGGGATTTGTAATGTACGTGAGACCTGTACATATCTTCTGTTTGAAGAGGAGTTGACTATGCTTCGCATTGGTTCAGTGGAAAGGTGTTTTGGTTCCTTTTGGTCCACCTCACTATAAACTAGGAATGCACCAATACCGATATTTTTTGGTATCTGGTACAAGTATCGATATTTTTTTTGGGGGGGGGTATTTGCCGATACTGAGTACCGGTGCCGTGTGCCCAGATTTTCGGTAAGTCGGGTGGCGGATCACGATTTATTTAATAACTAGTCAATTGCTAGAGAGGGTGGCTTTCTGATAGCATGTGAAGCCGATGTTCTAGCAAAAGAACACCGGCTTCACTTGCCAAGGCTGCCTGGCTTCCTGACCAATTAGAAAGCCGGGCGGCGAGTCATGAGGTGCAATCCGGCTTCCTGATTGGTTAGGAAGCCAGGCTGCTTACCAACAAGTGAAGCGGGCTTCCCAGCCAATCAGGAAGCCGGGTTTCACGTCATGACCCAGCTTCCTGATTGGCTAGGCAGCCTGGCTTCCTGACCAATCAAGTAGCCAAGAGGCGGGTTATATCATGCTGCCCAGCTTCCTGAATGGTTAGGAAGCCAGGCTGCCTAGCAACAAGTGAAGCCGGCTTTCTAGGCAATCAGGAAGCAGGGTGGCACGTCATGACCCACCTTCCGGCTTCCTGATTGGCTAGGAAGCCTGCTTCATTTGTTCCTAGGCAGCCTGGCTTCCTGACCAATCGGAGGCGGTTTATATCGTGCCGTCCAGCTTCCTGATTGGTCAGGAAGCCAGGCTGCCTAGCAACAAGTGAAGCCGGCTTCCTAGCCAATCAAGAAGCGGGTTATAACCCACCACCCGGCTTCCTGATTGGAAAGGAAGCCGGCTCTATGCTTCCTTGGCACTTGCGGTCAGAGGGACATCTCCCTCTGACCAGAAGTTCCGGTATTGGAGGTAAGTATCGGAGCATTTGGGCGAGTACTAGTATCGGTGCATCCTTACTATAAACTAACCTGTCTCATTAAACTTTTCTGTTGGAAATGCTTTAAAAGATATGGTATAGTGTTCCATTAGTGAAGGTGAGACAGCAGCCAGGCTTTGCTCTGATCATGCTTTTCCCCATTTTGTGTCTCCAGCAGATGATGGGTAAAGTAGTCCTCCTATGTGTGTATGCAGAGGCCTTCAGTGGGGTTCTGGCAGCAGCTGCAGCAGCAATGGGCAGACCAGACAGGTAATTTTCTGGATGATAAACAATGGCTAACACTGGCAGAACTACCAGAGTTGCAGCAACTGGGCCCTGGCAAGTTTTAACCTCCGCGGGAGGAGCACCTCGGCAGTTACTAGGCCCGCAAAGGAACAAGAGGGCCCGGGCCCAGTAACCGCTGAGGCACTGACATTGCCTCCTGGGTCTACAGCTCCCAGCATGCAGCATGCTAACACTCTGCAGCTCCCTCCCGCAGTGCTTGATACTCATACCACCGCATTCTAAACAATGAGCGTCAGCTCACTCCATATACCTTGAGAGGGGACAGGAGGAGACTTTCCTCTGCTTGCCCTCTTCTTCATCTCGCCATTAAATCTTCAATATGCCTGCAGATGGAAGAACAGCTCCCACTGAACTTCTCTGTCTACTTCAGCTTTAGGTCAGTGCTGTTGTCGCATCTTTGTCCCCCTCTCCTCCTGTCC